AAGGCTGAGTCAACCCTGAGCCGGTGAGATTTGAACCGCCGAACTGCAGAACTGCAGTCAGCTGAAGTAGCCTGCAGTGCTGCATTTAGCCACTGTGCCACCTCGGCTCAGTGCAATGGGTCAGACACGACTTCACAACTAACAACAACAAGAAGAAGAAGTTATAATTCATGGTAGTATTTCCTAAGCATCTGGAAGCCATCAATTAACTCACGGAGGCCCTCGGTTACCTAATGAAATTTCATAGCAGTTTGACTTATTCAGTTGCAATTGGTTGGTTGCCCAGCAGAATGTGTGGCTTTGTGTTACCTGCCTAGAGTTGGCGCAATTGACACTCGAATTCTTAGAAGATGCCCCTGGCTGGAGGTAATCAGAAACCCATGGAAAGCGATTTTTCTTACCGCCCTCGTTACAGAGATGAATCGGTCAAAACTGATCAAGACAATGTTGAATCCGGAGGCGGTGCAGACTAGGTAATCGACCACCAGCCAGAGCTTACACAGGCCTCTTCCAAATTTCCATTCATCAGTCAGAATGTACGGGATGTATAGGGGTATACAAAATCCACCTGGGAGCAAAGGAAACAACGTTGGTGAGACAGCCATAAGCTGAGGCCAAATTGTAGGCAACTTTAACGACAAGCAGTGATTCCACCACACCCTCAACCTTTCACTCCCTGGACATTTGAAGTGGTACAGTCGCATGGGAATCAGGCATGACTTCATAGAAATGAAGACTTGAAAAGGAATGCAGAGATGATCCCATTCAAACCACCTGCAATGTGTGGGAAAACTAAGCAGAGTTGGCTGTGCAGTGTCTTCTTAAAAAAGCACACCAAGAGATGGAGCACTCACAATCTCACTAGGGCACTGTTTCTGAACCTTAGCAACACCCCTCCCTATTCCTTCCTTCCTTCTTTCCTTCCTTCCCTCTTTCCCTCCCTTTCCCTCCCCCAGCCCTCCTCCTATCCTCCCTTCCCTCCCTCTTTCCATCCGTCCCTCCCCCTCCCTCTCTTTCCTTCCCTTCTGCCAGCCCTCCTCCTATCCTATCCGTTATCCTATCCTATCCTATCCTATCCTATCCTATCCTATCCTATCCTATCCTATCCT